GTAAATATTACATTTGCACTTCAAAAGAGATGTTTGGGATTTTGTCAGGGAGCTTTATACTTGGAGCCAGTTAGTACAGCTGCAGTAGCTTTAGCTTTATACATAAGCTCATACAGACTCTCTTATGTTACTACTCTGTCTTCTACTCATCAGGTCTGTGTTCTTTGGGCACTGTCTGCTGTTTCCTGGCTGGGGTGGATTTGCTCCACCAGTATTCCAGACCACCAGAAGGGGTAGAAGGCTCGTTGGGCTGGTCCCTCTACCTCGCCCTCATCTCCTTCCCTCTGCAGATGATGGCAGCTGCTTTATTCCTTTGGGCGGCCAGAAGTCACCGCAAGAACTACACCCGCATGACTGCTTACAGGGTAGCATAGAAGACAGAGACTGCTCTGACAACAGTATACTTTAAAACAGCCTAAGACTTTCTAAAAAAGAAGTGGTTTCTGGTTGAGGGGATGTAAATAGAATGAAACGTGCTGGTTGTAACTTATCACTTCCTCTTTAACAGTCTCTTATCCGATTAAAAAGAAAACATATACAAACCTAAAGGCAGGAATACACTAAACAAGTTTGCAGCTAATCACCAGAAATACTCTTAAATATGAGTTTAATATTTTTGAGTTTGTTATCTCACCTTTTTTCTTTCTTTTTTTCTTTTATTTTTTAATGTATATGTATCTTACCCAAAGCATGTTCTTATGTATTGTATTTAACATCCAGATGTCACAGGTGCTTTGTAATTTCTGGTGTTAACTGTGTTTCTGTGCAGTATTTCATTGCCTTCTCTTGGGTTGCCACTGCTTCTAAAGCTGCTCACCACATTGCCCTTAAGTCAGTTCTCGATTCTTAACGTGCACTGTCACACATTTTCTGACCTGGAGTCGTCCAAGTCGAGGTAGCTTTCTCTGTAAGTGCATGAAAAATATTAAACAAGCCGATTTTTGTTAAGTGTTTGGTTTGTTCTGCTTTTTGCGTTCTCTTAAATTACCAAGCCTTTTGCTGTGCATGCCTTTCAAGCTGACATTTCTGTCATCTGTGGTAATTGTTGATTTCAGTCTGTGGTATATTCTGACTAAATGTCATTAAATGTCACCCGCTAAAAATGAAACCACTCATCGCTCATTGTCACCTGTGTTTGTAGATCTAATATGTTTTAATGAGATTAATTTGAATGTTAAACTGAACTGATTTGATGCCACTCCAAGAAATCTGTGACCTTCAGCCCTAAACCTTACTACTGCCATTTTACAATCCTAATGGAGAAGTTTCACTGTTTTAAAGTCTTTAGATGACTTTAAATTGTGCTTGCAATCTGTTGTCCTTTCAGTTCCATCAGTGACTGGTTTGGTAAGCATCATTTAAGCCTTTCAGATGTTTGTAGCTGATACCATCCAGTCACAGACTCGTATTCGGAACAACTGAATTTGCAAAATCTTCAAGTGCAAATCCTTGAACCCATGTCTTCACACTCAACGTCAGTGTGGAAGATGATTGGATTTGCTACTTTTTTGTGTGTGTTAGATTCCAAAATTACTAATTTCTTAGTACAAAATACAGATTGTGATGTTTTTGTGTCACAATGTTTTGTTACACATCCGATGTGTATACACTGTGGCTTTTGTAAATGTTTTTATGTATTCCGAAGCACACTGTACTTGTTTGTGTTTTAATACATTTGACATTTGCTGACTGTTGCGGCAGTTTCCGTAATAAAGTGAATTCACAAAGTATCTTCCACTTAGAGTTATTTATTACAATTAATCACCACGTTTCCATACGGGACTGATGTCTTCTAAATACAAGAGAGCCTGAATGAAGTTACATTCAGCCCTTATGGATCCTGTCTCTCTTTCATCTCTCCCAGCAGAGAAAAAACAGGCACAAAGATGTAGTCTTTGATTTGTGTAAGTGTTTTGAGACGTTTTCCAGCTTTGTCTGCTAATGGAGTCTGTAATGTTCCCACAGTTTGCACCTGTGCACTGTGGTTCTTTCTTTTAAACAATGTGTGAGAGCGAGCAGAGATGGACACAACAAGATACTATTTAGTCTCTGTACGCCCGAGGCCAAACGAGCTGGCTCCGATAGCAGCGAACAGTTATAAACTATAATATCAATAGATTAGTATAAAATGAACAACAGACTGCAATAAAACAAAACACCCCAACAAATTAGATAATAATGTAAGCAGTAAATATGAGATTTCTGCCACACATACCGCCAATAAGACCTTATTCTTCACTGAGCATATGTTAGAAAAACAGAGTTTTGCTTTTGCTGTCTTTAACTGTTCTTGGAGCGTGACTCTACAATTTTACAATTTCATTTGGCAGATGCTTTTATCCAAAGCGACGTACATCTGAGAGCAGATACAACACAAGCAAGGATCTAGTACACTCTGGGAATGTCAGTGAGTACATCCATTATTTTGAAGGTCATTTTTTGTTTTTCCACATTTTTAGTCTTTGTAGTGATGTAGATGTGGGGTGTAACGGGGGTAACTGAAATATCTTAACACCTGTTTGATAGAATGTGATCTAAGACGTTGGTTGACACCAGATGATGAAACCTAACTCTGATGATGCTTTTCCTTTGATGGTCACATTTATGGTTTTCACTGAAATGTCACAACAAATAATGAGACATATTGCCACATTGATTTCTAATATTGCAGCCGATCCCGTAACTTGCACCATAATTAGGTTAAAAAAATTTTTAAAAAATCCCTAATATGGCTGTAGGACCAAGTACTTGAATGTGTTTGTTTGCACACACTAAACACATGAAACTAAGATAATGATTTTTGTGAGTATTGGATGCAAAATTAAGCATCTACAGTACCTATATTCTCTATTGTTGTTGCTTTAAATTTGTGTTTTAACAAAAAAGCTTAATTATATTGTCTGTGATTCAATGTTGAAAGGCAATAAAAGTAGAAACATCTGATGAATACTTGTTATAGGCAGTGTCGCTCAAAGCACAGCTACAAGTGTTTGTAGTCTCATAAGAAGCTTCCATGGCTGTAGAGACACTCAGGAAAAATCAAAGTCACATCAATCCAGTTACAGAAGTCCTTCTTTATTGAACAAATGAACACTTTTTAGTTGTAGCTGGTAATTTTCTTAGTTTTGGATTTTTTTTTTTGTACCGGTTAATTGGACTCTTTCATACTGCACGATTACGTTCATGGTGTTAATATTCATATTAATAGTTTGCTTTGTATGTGTTGTTCAGTTCTTTGTGATGGATGCACTTAGTACAAAATAATGTAAAGCGTACACAGTCTGTTTTAAACACCTCCACCTTGATTAAAACCCCGAGAAGAAGCAATTCCGCCGCACATTTCAAACCATGAACATGTTAAATGCTTTTACTTAGGTGCCAAATGAATATTTATTTCCTTTGACTGGCAGGCACATTTCTGTGAACAACTGAACAGATTTACCAGAAATTAACTTGTATATCAACTTATAGAGACATCATTTAAGTCAAAACACAGTGTTTAACAATTGATGAATTAATAGTTGAAGTGATTCATGTTTCCATTTATTCAAAAATAATATGCGTAATTGCAGTGGTACAAAAAGATCAGTGACCATCTGATCAAGCAAATTAATTCTAAAAAAAATACAGCGTGGGTGGAAGAATTTTACCTCCAGAGCCTGTGCAGCACCACTCATTCAAGTACTAAAACAACTGCGGTGTTACAAACGAGCTTCCTTTTGCACCTCACAGAGGCAGTAAGGTTGCAAAACTGCCAAACTGCATTGTAGGAAGTACTCGTGCTGTTTGTAATCTGCACCTATAAAGATTTGATAATCATGTTTGTGCATTTGCTATTTGGAGTAATTAGATCACATGTAGTGTAAACATGTTTTTGTGATTACAATTTCAAGACAGTATACTTTGGTCCTGTTCTCTCTCTATGCTCTCAGTCCTTCTTCACACGTATAGACGGGAACTTATGAGTGAGCTTCTGAGCTAAATGGAAAGCAATCTTCTTCTCATAGTAGGCACATTCATTCACAAAGAGAGGGTAGAGCTCTTCTCCCTCATATTTCACCGTCTCCCCGGTAAATGATAAGAACATGGGGTCGCCTCGCTTGAGGAGCTTGAAGTCATTATCCTGGAGAAAAAAACAGACATGTCATATTCTTTTAAGTAGATTCCTTGTGTCCTGGAATTCATGAATGTAAATGTTCAGATGGCACCAGCTTCTGAACCATTGATTAAGTGATCCATGATCCATCTCGTACTGTACCTGCAGCTGAGGGTGTATGGCAGCGGTAATTTCACCCGTCATTGGATCCCGTGGGTAGTCGACACTTTTCACCACTGTGAATGCTTCCACTTCTCCTCCTTCAAAAGTGCCTCCTGTTGGTAGAGGACAGCGTGAGCGATGCCTCACTCACTTGAGAAAAGATGTACTACTGAGGTCATTTAAGGGAGCATAAAGTCAAGCAGTTTAAGTTTTGAAAAATTTGTAGATTTCGGCTGTTCCCTGCATTGTATTGGGCTAGAGACAGAAACCTCAGAGGCAAAACCTGACAAAATGAAATCAAAGCTATCTCCATGACTCTATCGATACCATTAGATGTGTGGTCTTCTTACCACGGTTAAATTCCTGAAGGAATCCTATGGTGTGATCCACTGCCTCCTTCACTATGTTAAAGATATCAGCTCTGACCACACCGTTGGGTTGAGGACCGACCTCTATTGCTGCAAGGAATGAGGGAGGCAAGCATCTAATCTGTTCAGTTATTTAGAAAAATGCCATCTTTATTTACTTCTTCACACAAAGACAAAGATGCACGCACTTACAGAAACTATGCTTGCCCACCGAGTCCAAGGAATAAGCTTCAGAGGGGGGTTTTTCCAGCAGCAATGATCTCACAGGCACAGAAGGTATCTTACTCTGAAAATCAAACACGTCGACCGTTTACAGCACAGAATGCTTAAAAACCTAAATGCTTCAATTTGAATACATGAACAGCTTTTCGATTTTGTAGAATTAGATTGAGATTCCTTGTGATTACATGAATAGCGTCCATGGAACATATACAGTGCAATGGTGACAAAACACTGGTGCCAAACCAGAAAACACTAAATCCAGATTACTTAAACCGTTGGTTGTAGTGACATGCAGCAAATTAAAACAAGCTCCACGAGTCATGATTAGAGCAGCACCATATGTTATACCTCTGTCAATTAACCAAGGTTAAGCAGTTGATGGGAGACTTGATGGCTGAGTAGTTGGAGGGATTATGAACAGAGATGATGAGGCTGGATGGATTTAACAGTTTTTTCAGTTCAAAGGGAAATACCTTGACAACCGATGGATTGCCAGGAAATCTGGTATATCAATTGTGCCCTAATGAATCTAAATGTAATCATTTAGTTAATCACCTTGACTTCTCCTCTGGTATCACTAGTGGGTCAAAGCTTTACCTGTCTTGCAAATTATCTCAACATTTACTGGGCAGATTGACACACATTTATGACTCCCAGATGATGAATCTTAATAATTTTGGTGGTGACTTTCAATCTAGTTGTGTTATCAGGTCAAACTCTCCATTTGACAAAGTGTTTCCTCAAAAACTGACCTTAGCTGTAATGTTTGCATGAAAACCAGCTAAGCCGAGGTGGGGACTGTGATGAACGTTACAGCCACCAAACATGAGCACATTAAAAGCGTATTTAGAATTATAAGGTTATTAATGTTAGCATGAAGACATTTGATTTTCACTCAAAGCATTGCTATGCAGCCTCACAGAGCTTCTGTTTAACTGTAAAATTTCATGGTTACACAAATAAGTTTAAGGGATCCCTATCAAACCTGTGTCTATCTGCTGTATGTATGTATTTATACAAGAATCACATCATCACATTGTTTAACCCTATTCAGGACTTTTGGGGTCTTTTGGACCCCAGGCCATTTGGTTTAGTTGACAGGTATTGGTTGTTTTTTGGTTTTTTTTTTTTTTTTTTAAAATATAAAAAGCGGGACATTTGTCATGCATTTGGAACCAAAAGTACATCAACTTAGAAAATTTATTGAATATTGTCTAAAGGTCTACAGTGACTACCAACAAATATTTTGCACATATTCTTTTTTGGTGTCCAATGGACTTTCTACGTATGGCAACATGAAAGTCCTGAATAGGGTGAAGCTGTTAAACATCATTTCTGGTGTTAAAATCCATTATTGGTCAGGGAAATCAGTAATTATTTTTAACATTGTTACATTAAAAAAAAAACAAAAAAAAGGTATTTTCCTCACCAACACCTCTCATGACAAGCATTATTCTATTTCCTATCCAAACATTTGTGGTGTCGCTAACTCAGAGTTACTTTACAAGTAACTTGATTGTAATTGTCAAAAAAAACATTGTTAACATTCTTTGAGCACTTTTTAAAGCTCATTTTTTATGCTGCAAGCTAATAAAATAGTATTTGCAGTAAAACTAAGCATTTTTGAAGTTGAAGATATGCATTCTGGGACCTCCAATATAGTTTACATCCTACGTTGTATTCAAACTTCCTGGCATCATTGCTGTTAAGGTCAGAAGATCAAAAGATGTCCATGCAGCTTTTACCTGTAAGTATTTGAAAATGTGTAGGGTGACATAGTCTATGGAGTCGAAGATAAGGCACAGGCCCATGTTTGATGTGGTGTTGTGGAGATCTATGAGCATATCCACGGCCTTGTTGCTTCCCTTGGGCCCCAGTTGAGCATTCAGCTCCTGAGCTCGCCTCACTTCATAGGGTGTTGAATCTGTTATGGGGGAGCTGGAAACCAGAAAGTGTAGTAAAGACCTCAGTGGTTTGAAGCTTTACTTGATATTACATTGCAGAAGTCTTAAATGTACAAACTATAAGCCAAAGTCTTTTTCAACCTACCTCAGCAATGCATCTGTAAAACAGCGGTTGAGATCAGTTTCTGTGTATCTTGTGCAAGCTTCCACAGCCCGCGGATTGGACATGACGGCATTTATAGAAACAGATCCAACTTTATCGACCTTCTGTTTCTGCATTTCTCTCACCAAGTACACCCCCGTCATCTCATTTCCATGTGTGCCACCACAAATGACAACGCTGGACAGCGGCGGGAAAGAGACCTGCTCCATCTGTTGTCAGGAAAAAGAGGCTGTTAGGTGGTTGTTGTGTTGTCTTTTTAAAAATCCAACTTCTGAGTAAAACCAGGACGACAAAATAAGTCAGGTTCAGTCTCTGGTTCCAAACTGGAGTGAGAAGTCCAAGAGTCTGGCTAGGTTATAGTGAGCAAGTCAATTGATTTAATGAGTGACCGGCCCATTGAATGATTTCCTTGTAGGTTTAGGTTTCTTCATCCTTAGATAAACATTGTACGCAGATGTTAAGACAGTCTTGGAATTCAGGCACTGATGAAACAGCAGTTTTTTTTGTTTGAACATTGTCTCAAATGATTGGACAGATCCTGATAAACAATTGTTTCCTGACAACTGACAATTTACTGACAAGTGGTGCAACTCAAGGAAAACCTCGATAACAGCTGTCCTGACCTTTATTGTTAGTTGGCCAGTGGAAGTCATAAAACCATCAGTTTGTTTCTGTACAATCACTGTAGACGGATTTATGTGTGAGCCAAATGAGCAAGAGAAAAAAGAACCATCCAAAAACTCTTTACACTTCTGCACAATAATGTGTCGTTATTATCTAACAGTCACAGCTTTTCCTGACCTTCCTGTGACTCAGTCAGTAGCATTTTCAGTGGACAACTTCCAGATCTGATTGGTTATATAAAATATTATCCCCAAAGTGATCAAATAAAAAACCTGCTTGCAAGACAAATGAAGAGTACGTTTGCAAAAACAGATAACTCCATCTTCACAAACCTTCAGAAAACTCACTTTTCCATCGTCTACCTGAGACAATATCAACCATACGTAAGTTATCTCTTTTTTTGTCATGTCATTTCTACTGAGTCAAATCCACTCAACTTTAATTTGATTGATTTTATCTCAAGCAAACAACAAAAAATACGTTTTCTGAAAATCTACAAAAATGGAGTTATCTATTTTTGCAAATGAACTCTTCAAATACACATGAATCTATTGTCTTTTGCAAATCAAACATATCAAATTTCCTATGCTGCATATCAAATATTCACAATTATTTCTCAACGGTTTGAGTTTGGCAAGTATCGATAAATAAAAGTGTGAATTTGTTCAATTTTGTCTAACCTTCGCAAAACGACTAGATCGTCCCAGAAGCTGTCAGTGTGTGTCAGAGCTCCTGTTGGGATGCATCTAATACTGACAGCCCTGTTTGTTTTTTTATACCTCTGAGAGACAAGTTAACAGTTAACTGATCCCCCAAATACTGCAGTTAAAGTGACAGCAAGGACCAGTCAACACAGCCATTCGTTTATATAGTCAGCATGGGTTATGTGTCAGCACAACATGTTCTAGTTTACACTGTTCAAATTAGAACTGAATGAGACTTAAAGATAGGAATTAGTTATATTTATGCATAAAATGCTTCCTACTAAAATAATTGTTTTGTGGGTTAACATTGACCACAAGATTAAGGAGTTCTTGCTCATTTTAGTGAGTAGAAAGTAGGATTCAATGAAGCTACTTTGACTTAATACATCTTCTCTGTTTGTGGTTCAAAAAAGAGTACAAAAGTTTTCCCAAGTTAACTCTAAGTCTGTATCAGCTTATGGCTTTCAGAGGTGTCACTGTCTTCTTTTTTCTTCTACCAAAGGACTATTGCATTGTTGTGTCTTCAAAATTCACAACTATAAAACAGAGCCACAATGTTCTTAAGTGATAAAATACATTTTACTGTCAGTACTGTGTTTGGTGTAAAGCTGGTGAACAGAAACCAGTATTAAATGGTCTCTTCACGCTTTTAATCAGCGGCTACACAGCTACATTTTTAGACAGCATCGGAGTCATAAAGCAGCCTTTTAGATCATCTGCAATTCAAAGGTCACAGCTACAGCCCACAGGGGATCCTACATCTGCAGCTGGAGGCTCATTGGGGGAAACTCAGTCACTGTCCTCGTTTACTCCTTTTATAACAACTTCATTTAAAGGAGTGCATTTTTTACATTTCCACTGTGTGGGTTTTTTTTTTTATTTCTCTGTCATTGCACTCTATTTCTTTTGTCCCTCTCCTAAACACTGATATGGTGCCAAGTAACTCAGCATTTTACAATAACATCAGCATGATAAAGTCATAAACTCCTGCACTGCAACACTTTTAACCCTCCCATTAACCATTCATTGTCATCATACACATATTTAACAAAGAACTAATGTCACACTATCATTTAGTTGTAAGCAGATATACATTGTGGTTAATGTGTTTGTTTGTGTTTGATTAATTGTAATGCTGCATTTCGGCACACATGCATGGGGACTGATGTAAATAAATATGTCTTCATAGTAGGATATTTGTGACAAATACTGATCATTAACATACTTAGACTGTTCTTATCTGCTTACAGCTTCATTGCAGTGTGTTATAATCAATTTATTATGAGTTGAGTGAATGCTAAATACCAAAAATGTGTATGACAAAGTGCACGGCGTGTCTGCTTGAAGCACTGCACTACTTAAAACCAGGTGTTGACAATGTGTGGGAATTCTTTGATTTTGTGTGATTTCGTATTTCTACTCACTTCTCTCATACTCATCGCAACAACAGCAGTCAAAGACAAATACAAAATGGCAATGCCTTGTGTTCTTGTCAAGAAGTGTTGCAAAACTGGTACATTCTGCAGAGAAAATCGAATTTGTGGGTCTGTTTGAGAGAAAATTGGCTGCAATACAGTTTTAAAGACTCCCTCGGGTGCAGCAGGCTGCCTCTGCTGAAGCGGTCTGTTAATGTCTTTGACTGGAGCAAAGTGCTGCTCTGTCCGGTTCAAGTTACATGATTACAAATAGAAAAACACAGACATGACATTCAGTTCCATCAATAAAATGTCCTTTAAATATATGCAAGAAACAGCGTTAGAGTGTGAATGTCTTACCGCTTAGTCACGATTCAGCCCTGCTTGGCATTCACTGGCCTGCAGCAACCTTTGAACTTAGAAGGGAAGTCATATCAGGGCAGTAATGCAGTATTTCATAACCTGCAAGCAAAGCACTTTAGGCACTCAGCTACTAGCCAGATCCGTTAACCATTTACATGCACAGGCGTGAATGAATGCAAGAAAAAACCAGCACACATACAGATGCAGACTGTTTTGAGTCACAGCCGGCCGTGCGGCTTCCTTGTGTTTTTCCTGCTTCCTGTGGCCCTCCTCTTTCTGTTTCTTCAGCTCAAATTTCAAGCAGTTAAACACTGTGTGATGTAATAGGAACTTGCTCTCTGTTATTTTCTACCGTGCCAGCAGGAGCCGCTCTCAGTACTCTGCAGCCTGCAACTTTGAGGCACTGATACGGCAACAACAACAGAGTAAAACGTGTGTTTGGGTGCTGTGCAAGAAAACCAAAACCTCTGCAGATATATTGCGTTGCTGCTTTATAGCAGCTACATTGAAGCGCTAAAAACACCCAAATATTACATGATAAGTACATATGGTACATGTAATAAGGGTGTGAAGTTTTTGCAATCTCAATTACTAAAAACATTTAGTGTATTAATTATGGATTCATCAAGACAGACGTAGATTTAATGTTTTGGTGCCTTAAGACTGAATCCCCACCCATTTTTGACATGTATGTATATTTATAGTATGACAAATTTACAAAATATTAACTGGAAAATGTAACTAATTTGAGAATAGAATTTAATTTTTGATTTGGTCAAATCAAAATCAGATTTTTTTTTTTTTTTTTTTTAATATAGCATTTTATATAGTGTGTTTTAAAACAACCTGAATTTCTAAACGTAAAATACACAAAAAAAAACCTAAAAACAACAACAACAATTTTTTTTTTTTTTTTTAAAACAAGGCAAAACAGGATATGGTAAAGTTCTAAAATAAAAAAAAAGTAAATGTAGAATACTGAAGTTTTTCAGACCATTAGGAGCAACTAAAAACCACTAATAAAGTGTTTGATGTTTTTTCTTAAAAGTGTCAGTAGAGGAGGAACATTTGATTGAAAGATGATGGCCGTTTCACGGCTTTGGTTCTGCTACTGCAAAAGCATGATCTCCCTTTCCAATTTTGAGATGTACCCCGGTGCAAACTCATGCATGGCTTTTTGAACTAATAAATAACTTTAAAATTAATATAGTGTATTCAACAGGCTGCTACAGGTGTAATGTATGCCATTCCTTTAAGTACCAGTTAGACGTCTTGCAGCAGCTGCAGATGAGACGTAGAGAACTGGCCAGTACCCAGGAACAAAGAGTTACATGAATGTAGCTTTGAGGAGGTCAATTCAGTGGTCACAGTCTTCATAGGATTTAGACAAAGGGTGGTTTTTAAATTTGGTTAAAGTGACACCCTTTAATCTGTTGGTCAAATTTTAGTCACATTTCAGTGCTGAGTCAAAGATGACTCCAAGAATCATGACATGGACATAAAGCTTGGTTGTTTTTTTTTTTTTTTTTTTACACCAGAATAAGTCAGTAATGCTTGGTCACATTAAACTGGCATTTAATTTGCTTTAATGCTTCACTATATGCTATGTACTTTCTGTTACTTCCCTTTAACAAACTAAAACTCTGTGGCTTCCATCCCTGTTTGGCCTGTAGCTTTTCCTTTTTTTTTTTTCCCCTCAGTGAAGCAATCTCTAGAGTCTAGTCCAAACTTTTTATGTTGCTTAATGTTACAAATCACAAATGTTGGACTTCACAATCTGCAAAGCCTTGTATCCATAAACTCTCAGTTGGGAAAAACTCCCCCAAAAGCACCTTTTGTGGGCAAATAAATGCAAGAGAACCTCAGTGTACATGTGGTATCTTCAAACGACTGGCAGGAGTCAGAACTCCCTCTAAACATCTTGTCATTCTAATAAACTATTCTGTCCTGGGAAGCACTAATCTAAAAAAATGCTAAACAGTGAATTACCTCACAATTATCGTGTGTTTCTGCTCCATACAACCCTTCCAGTCTGTGGTATTTCACTCTCTCACTCTCTCTCAAGAGGAGCCCTAAGCTCCATTTAGACGTGTAATCCTGTTGGATCCGTCACTTGATCATAAGCTGCTTCCTCTCACTCGTTCACTCCGTCTCTCATCCTCTCCTCTCTGCCAGCTCTGTTCAGTTCAGATGATTTCATTATGCTCCAGTTAAAGCTTTACTGGCATAACAATCATGAAAACTATACCGGGACAGTGACAACTATATTAAAATAAACGGGTACAACTGCTGCTGGAGACTTCTGTTGTTGTTGTTGAGCTCTTTTGACTTTTTGACATCCAGCCTTGAACTGATTATTACAAGGTACAATCTTTTAATGTACAAATTTGTGTATCGCCATGATATATTCATGTCAATTCTTTGGGTTTGGGTAATGCAATATTATTTGTGATAGTCACAAGTATATATACACACATTTTGCCTTCATGTTTTCTGCCAGAAGATGGCAGAAAAACTTTCAGGCCCAAAAATAAATTATTGTTCTTCTGTAGAAGAGCCAATAGCTCACCAGTTTATTTGTGTTGTAACACAAGACGTCCTTTCTCTGCATCTCCATTTCTGTCTAGATATTTCATCAGTGATTCCCTGGAAAGACAGATGTTTGGCAGGATGTTAGTTTATTAGTTTAGCTCATTATATTTATTTGTCGGGGATCATGTACAAAAACCATTCATCACGTGGAAAAACAGGACATGTATTATCGAACGTTTAGTAGAAAAGGAATTTTCTCCTCCATCCTGGGAAGGCAGACACAAAAATGTAATGCAAACAAGAGCACAAAATACATTTTAACACCTAGCACTGCACCATATATAATAATTACAAAAAGTTGCACAAAGCTTTGGATGTAATGGCCGCCTCGAGAAAACCCACAGCCACAAAGGAAAACTGACAATAATGAAATGTCTTCAATATTATTTCATGTTTGTTTGTCTCTACCTAAACACTTGCATGGATTATAGTTTAAGACTCTCCTATAATGACTGGCTGCATGGTGCTAATGGAAATTAGTGTGATCCATTGATTTCAATGCAATTATAGTATACATACTAAAAATGATATCAACATCATCATTAACAGACTGAACCCAGAAACATCTAATAGCATGTCAATGTCTCCACATATAACAAATCAATACTGAAAAGCAACAAGTGGAAGAAGTGTATGTGATCACAGTGTTTTTTCTTGTTTTTTTTTTTTTGTTGTTCTTTTTAGTACTATCCATAAATCGCATGTTTTTGTTTGTTAAAAAAAAATAGAAGATATTGGTTAAAGTAAGGGCTGCAAGGTGTCTTGGTGGTTAGCACCGTTGCCTTGCAGCTAGTAGGTTGGCGGGTCATAACCCCGTGACGACACCTGGGATCTTTCTGCGTGGAGTTTACATGTTCTCCCCGTGCAGTGTGGGTTCTCTCCGGGTTCTCCGGCTTCCTCCCACACAGTCCAAAAACATGTTGAGGTTAATTGGTGATTCTAAATTGTCCGTAGGTGTGAATCTGAGTGTGCTTGGTTGTCTGTCTCTAAGTGTAGCCCTGTGATAGACTGGTGACCTGTCCAGGGTGTCCCCTGCCTTCACCCTAAGTCAGGTGGGATAAACTCCAGCCTCCCTGTGACCCTAGTGAGGATTAAGTGGTGTATAGATAATGGATGGATGGATGGATGGATAGTTAAAGTAAGTGCAGTTTGTGTTCCACAGAACTGAGTCATATTGATGGTACCACTTGAGAGCATACATTGTTGAACTGATTGTTGTACTAGAGTCATTTGGGTTTCTGTTCCAACTTTACAAAAGAAACAATCTGAGATAGCGAAACATTTTCATTATATAATCACTAGATTGTAGTACTTGGCATGTGCTAGATTTATCATTCCTCTTGCTCCTGCTGCTTCTTTTTCCTCCATCTACTTTCCCTGTCCCTTTCCCCATGTCCTGTGTACAAGCACAAATACACAGAGGACAAGCTGGAATAGTGTTGTGTGAATTAGTCTGACACATCTTGGTTTCTTCCTATTCACAGAGCCAGGGCGAAGTGTGAACACTGAATTTTTTTCAGCATGCACACAGAAGTGACAGCTAGTTGACCGTGACAAAATATTCCCCTGACAAAAATGACATTTAAATGACTTTAAGTATGACACCTTTCTCTCTAATCTCTACCTGCCAGATCGAGTAACATCTTAAAAGGTGAAGAAGGATTTTTTTCACAAGTAACAATGAAACTGCAAAACTCTGACACTTTTGCTGCCGGAGAGCATACATACAAAGGAAAAAATCATTTAACTAAAGGAGCCCTGAGGAGCTACAACAAATACAGGAGAGAATAAAAACGGCGATTTCTTGGGTGGGATTTTTTTTTTTCAAATTTTTATGAAATTGTACTGTTTCCACAGGTGACTGTTATAAACAGCAAACACTGGCAGGATATTTGTTTGCCATTCAGTTTCAAACTGTTATTGAAGCACTGACAGGAGAGACAGACTGAATGTCATTTATGTAAAAAAATGCTCTTAGTAAGGCCGACAACAGAATGCAAAACATCTTCCCAAGTATACATCCCTCCACTGCATTTCACTGACTCAACTTCAATTTCAGTATTGTTCGCTTCACATAAATACAACCGAACATACAGATCAGACACTCGACTAAAGACACACTCGTGTTGCCTGCTGTCACCCCTTGAATGATTCATATAAAATAAAGGGAAATCATTTTGATTTTATCAGCCATGACTTAACAGATTATGACCTTTTTAGTATGGAGGGCAGGGCCTGCTTAGGAAAGGTTTGAACGGTGACATTTGAGACAGGGAGTGGCAAAATAAGAGGTAGATATGTCTGGATAATGAGTTCTTGCTGAGAGGAAGCACTTCTTGACCTTCTTGTGGTGTTTTTGCAGTGTCCACAGCTTTGTGTCTTTGTGCTTCACAGAAAATGACCCACAGCCTTCTGATAAGTGCGACTGCTGAAACAGCAAACGAAATGTTTTTAGTGAAGGGGTGGCAAAACTGTGAAAGCCAGAAACAGCAGACGGTACAACGGAGCTCATGAAAACAAGCTCAGCGGGTGAACCTCAAGCTAATTGGCAGTTGTACTCAGCAGGAGAAAAACACACTAATTGGGTATTTCTCTGTGAGGGA